TATTTTCCCAGTTCTTCGCATGTCTGGCTTCTTACCCTTCAGGTTTCAGCTCATATGACATCTCATCATACAGGTCGGACTCCAGCCTGACCACTTTTCAATTTCCCCAACAAATAGCTATTACTTTTATAGTCAAAGAAAGTGTTACTTTTAAAAATGCTTTAGAGTTTAATATGCTGAGAAGAAAATTAAAATAAAATAAGAGCAGGGTACTTTGTATACAAATAATATTAATAGGTACCATTTATTGTGCACCAACAATTTGATGTGCTTTATGTGCCTCATCTCACTGAATTTTTTTTTTTTTTCTTTTGAGACCGAGTTTTGCTCTAGTTACCCAGGCTGGAGTGCAATGGTGCGATCTCGGCTCACCACAACCTCCGCCTCCTGGGTTCAGGCAATTCTCCTGCCTCAGCCTCCTGAGTAGCTGGGATTACAGGCAGGCGCCACCATGCCCAGCTAAGTTTTTGTATTTTTAGTAGAGACGGGGTTTCACCATGTTGACCAGGATGGTCTTGATCTCTTGACCTCGTGATCCACCCGCCTCAGCCTCCCAAAGTGCTGGGATTACAGGCCTGAGCCACCTATCTCACTGAATTTTTACAACAATTTCATCAGGCTAGTTCTATTATGATCATTGTTTTATAGGTTTTAAAGAAAACGGCTAAAGTTTGGGGATTTTTTTTTTGGAGGTGGAGTCATACTCGGTTGCCCAGGATGGAGTGCAGTGGTACGGTCTCGGCTCACTGCAACCTCCGCCACCCAGGTTCAAGCAATTCTCTTGCCTCAGTCTCCTGAGTAGCTGAGATTACAGGCAGGAGTCACCACACCTGGCTAATTTTTGTATTTTTAGTAGAGACAGGGTTTCACCCTGTTGGCCAGGCTGGTTGCGAACTCCTGACCTCAAGTGATCCACTTGCCTCGGCCTCCCAAAGTGCTGGGATTGCAGGTATGAGCCACTGTGCCATGACCAAGGGATTTTTAAGTTGCTGTTTTTCATGGAATATTTGTTCCATATTGTGGCTGTAGGACTGAAGCCTAGGGAAACTGAAAAGGGAGTTTTCTACCAAGATTTGTAAAGCTACTCACAGAACAGAATAGTGAAGACTAAAATGAAAAATTGTGCAAACTGCCTTTCAGAGTTTTGCATCTTTTGTTTACTAATAAAGACTTGGATCAACATCAAATGTTCAAGCTGACTTGTATTTTCTTGTTTAACTGAAAGTTATCACCCAAACTCACCCCGTGACCTGCTGTTGGAAGAGAAGACATTTGGATTTTCTAGGGAGAAGACCCAAAACAGGCCAGAAAGATACCTCTGTGAAAAAACTATCCCCAATCTACAGAATTGCTTCTCAATGGCCTACTAGGTTTATAGGTGACTTAAAATGGCAAAAATTCAGACATTCAGGCTGGGCAGCTCACATCTATAATCCCAGCACTTTGGGAGGCTGAGGTGGGCAAATCACCTGAGGTAAGGAGTTTGAGATTAGTCTGTCGAACATGGCGAAACCCCTTCTTTACTAAAATTAGAAATATTAGCTGGGTATGGTGGCGTGCGCCTATAATCCCAGCTAATCGGGAGGCTGAGGAAAGAGAATTGCTTGAATCCCAGAGATGGAGGTTGCAGTGAGCCGAGATTGAGCCACTGCACTCCAGCCTGGCGAACAGAGCGAGACTCCATCTCAATCAGTCAATCAATCAATCAATCAATCAATCAGACATTCAAGCAAGTGATGTGATCAGTGTTTCTCTTTGCTTGGTGATCGTCAGAAAAGAAAAATCTAAGCTCTCTGGCAGGGATTTGACCAACAGACTAGAGAGGGTAGGGAACTATGAGAGATTTCTAGATTATTGCTTTCTATGCAGCTGTAACTAATAAAACCCAAACTGATGAGTATCTCTTCAGCTGAGAGCCTGGGCAAAATGTTGCTAGGATTACTAAATACTAAGATTGAAAATGGCTGCTTGCCACTGGCTGAATAAGCTCATAAAACAAGCCTTTGGAGAATTATTTTTATTTTAAGAGCATTGTATTTAAAACTTCACAAAAAAAAACAATTCTGTATGGTTTCCAGGGCAGTACCCAGTGCCTTGTAAATTTCTCAGTATAAAAGTTTCTCAATAGTATGCCCCATTGTGCCACAACCCAGGGCTGAAGCATGCTTCAGTGCTGAAGTCTGATGAGGTTGGTCATTCAAAGTTCTCAACTCAGCGTCCACTCCTCATCCTTCGTTTGCTATCTCAGGGTTTTGGCAACCATTTTTAAGCATATAACTTCCAAATCTACGTCTCCTTCTCTGTTTCAAGAATTCAAGTCCCACATTTCTCATTTTAAGTTGCTACGTGGATGAATTGACGGTACTTCAAACTGCTTATGGCAAAAACTTAACACCTGATTTCTTGACGAACCTTACGTTTTTTATTCTATCAAATAGACTAGTCTCCTTTAGACACCTCTCTTGAGATCTTGCATCATCTTTGTGCCTCTGTCTTTCTTAATCCTCCTGTTTAATGAGTTACCAAATGCAGTCAATAGCTTTGGAATTCCACCCCCTTTTTCTTCTCTCACTTACATTGCCTTTGATTAGGCTCTCTTTCCCTTTCTCCTGCATCAGCATGTCCACACAATGGTTTCCTTGATGCCATCTTCACTCTGCTCTTCTTGTCTACTGCTATCAGAGGAATCTGCCCAAAGTTCCATTTTAACTGTATCGTTATTACCCTCAAAACCTATATTAGCTCCTCAATACTTACACAATAAAGTTTAGATTTCATTGCATGGCATTCATAGTCAAGCTCACCTCAACCCAGTGTTTCTAACCCCTTTCTCATTACTGTCCCCACTATGAACCTTTTTAGAACTTACTTTGACAATCAGCTCCCTCATGCAATGTTAATACTACGGATATACTGTATATCTGTGTAGTATGTGTATATTTGTGGTTTCTACATAAAAAGAGGAAGATTTTACCCCTGTTGAGACTACATGCTCTGCCAAAGCAAATCACTTATTAATCCCTGAACATGCTCCAGTATTTTCTAGCTTCCAAGCTTTTGTTCAATCTGGCCATTAGTCAGAGAGGTTGAGGGAATATGAGAAGATTCCTAGACTGTACTTCTGCTATTCAGCATACTGATCCCTTGCCTAGAATAGCCTCACACATCTCCTCCCACCATCCTCTATTTCTTCCTGTTGAAATCTGACTCTTCATGCAGCAACCTAAATACTGTATTCTCTCCCCATGCACTCAGTTGGCACTGACTTTTCTGTGCGTGCATGGAATTTTCTTTATTCCTCTATTATATTCTTCTTTGATATGTAGTCGTCTTTCTATTTGTGTATCTCTCCCACTGGATTACAAACTTTCTAAAGACAAGGACTCTTTTGTTCACAGTGTATGATGCCTTCATGTAATAGGCACCAGAATATGCTGGTTGAAATTAATTCACAGAGATACTGGAAACAGTGTAAAAGCCCACCAGTGCCCATATTTAAAAGTCTCTTGTTTATGCTGAATAAATGAACACACTAGAAAAGTTGGACACCATATACAAGACACACTCCCAAAACATAATCATTAATACAGACACTATTTATAAAGGAGTTCTGTGTTGTGTACACCACGGGTGAACAGAATTGGTTCCTGGTTCACACAAACAACAGACACCCACAGAAAGTTGTCTGAATGACAGCTAGCTGCCTAGCCATGTTTTAAATAAGGTCGATCAAATGCGGTAGCCCAGAGACCAAAACACAAATGACAATTTTTGATATCATGTTCTTGTACAGATACAAAATTTTAACTGGGTTTATGTGCCATGAAAAGAAATGATATATGTAGAAGTACATTTTATACATTAGTAATCATCACCACCATCTTTAAAACGACCCAATTAAGGCTGTGGGGCAGGGAAGTCAGTCTGACAAAGTTATTTTTGTGTAGGAAGTGAAGCCAAGATAAAAACATGTTTTCTGTAAAAGCCTTGATAATTTAAACAAATGAATATATGTGAACATCTTTGGAAATTTCTATTATTCTTTATTCCATTGTGGAACAATGGACTTTCTAGGAAAGCTATTTCTGTGGCTTCATAGGATCACCTTTTGCTTTCACCAGAGGATGAGGGATTTTTAACTGGCACTTGTATTACTTCTCTGAGTTTACTAAGATGATGATAAAATCAGAAAACTTTTAACAGGTGTTTTCTACCTTCCTTTGCTTCTGGGCTGTCTTTTCCTAAAATACCACAAACAGTTTTGTTTATTTGTTTCTAAAATCTGAGAATGAGTTTTGTGGGACAGTGGATGTAGGAAGTGGGGGCTGTCTATGGGATGAGAGGCTTGGCAAAGAATTCGTTTCCAAGGATACGCTAATTTCCGTCCTTCAGCCAGGTTCATTCACAGTCAGTGTAGTGAGTTTAGTTCTTTCTGAGTTTTCAAATAAAGTAACCCTTTTGCCAGTTACAAATCCTACTTGCAATTCTATTTTCTATGGGCTCTTAACTATTGAAAGGGACGATTCCTCGTGAATCTCCTTTTTCACTCCTTCTGCTAGTCAAGCTCAAGTTGTGCGAGCAAACAGCAACAGCAAAAGCAAATACTTTGGGGCCAACATTTAGCCTCCGCCTCAGTTAGAGGCAGAATTATATAGCCTTGTTTGCTTAACAACTCAGCTAGGGGGCGGGGAGGGTGACGGGAGGAGACGGGGGAGGGGACTAAGGAAGGGACAAGGGAGGGGACAAGGGAGGGGACAAGGGAGGGGACAAGGGAGGGGACAAGGGAGGGGACGAGAGAGGGCCCGCCACCCTTGGAACGGGATTGGTCCCCTCTCTCCCTTAAGCCGTTCACTTTGCATCTCGGTTGGACAGGTTGAGAGAAATATGTAATTAAGGTGTTGTCAATATGAGCCCTGTAGATGTGGGCCGTTCCTTGGGTTTGTGGTTTTAGATTTTCAAAGGGGCGGACTTATTATTGGCTGTGGGATCAAGTTCTTGAAACTGGTCTTGTATATGTTGAAAAATGCCTTCCTAACACGAGGCGCCAAGGAGCTTAAGTGTAACTCACTCACACACAGTAAAGAAAATGACGAAAGTTCCTCCGGGGTTTGATTTCAGTTTCTTAAATGACGAAGAGGCTAGGAAGATCCTTCAGGTGCTGGAAAGAAACGAGGAGCTACGGAGGGCCGAGAAGGACAGGATCAGGTACGGAGCAAATTCATTTCTCTTGTCCTTGGCCTGGGTCCCGCAGGGGCCGGGGGTCCGCGGGGAAGGCGCGGAGCCTGCGCGGGGCACCTGCCCGGGGTTGGGGGACAGAGGGGGTGCTCCGGGCAGCTGCTGCGGAGGCTGCGGGTCGGGGAGAGGAAACTGCGCCGAGTTGCTCTCTGAAGGACTTTGGGACGCCTGATCGGTACGCTCTCCATACACCGCATACAGACGGGCTCGGCTGTGGGTCTGGGGTCGAACAGGGTGGGGGTCGGTGCGCTGCGGGGGCCGCGTAGTGACGCTGTGCTGTGCTGGGTGTCTGCTGGGCCATCCCGGGGCGTGGGCCGTTTCAGGCACTGAAATGGGGCGGGGGCGCGATCCTGGCTGCTGCTCACTCCGCGGCCCGCGCGCACCCACGTGCTCTCACGGGTCCCACAGAGCTTCCACCCTCGCCTAACACACTTTTCTCTCCGCACCAGAGGTGCATCTCTCCAGCCCACGAGGGCAGGAGCACCTCACGGGAGGCGAAAGGTCCCCGCCCCAAGGGCAGGAGCTCGAGGAATTTGTCAAATAGAGGCTTCTTTGTGTGCGGATGGGACTTGGACTCACAGAGGTGGCTGGAATGAGTGGGTCTCCTTGCGGGTGGTGCTATGGGGAGGGAGTTTCTGCGGAATTTCACACTTGACCTTACTATACACTGTTGTAGGTGAGGGATGTTACTAAAGAATGAAATCCAGAGACACAGATAATTACCTGGGATGTAAATCAACCAGTTTTTCTGCTGGGGAAGTGTGGGGTAAGTGCTGGAATGAATTCATGGGACTCTCTCGCCAATATTGGCATATACTCACCTAAGTCCTTCTCTAGATAACTGTGGAAGGGAAGTCAGGATATCACTCTCAGGCCACACTGTGTGCCATTGATTGGAATTTAGCGAGTCATTTTGTTTTACGATCAGCTGCTTGCTAATGTGAATTCCAGGTTCCCAATTCTTTCTAAATATCCCCACCTGCCTGTCCCCCACCTCTGACAAAAGAAACCCTCCAAGGACCCTCTTCAAACTGGAAAATCTAGTTGGTCTTTGTAGAAAGAATTAGTATACACTAAGCTCAATGTCCTGACTTCACCCTTCTCCCCTAAACGTGACTCTTTGTGAGATAAAGGAATATTTGAGGTTGGGGAATGTGAATTTCATACCATTATAGTCTGCCTTGAGAAAAAGTGACTTTATCATCCCCCGCCCCAACAGTATAGAAAATGTGCCTTTATGAGAACAGTATGCCACACCCACACCCACCCACGTGCATGTACCTACACATATGCACATGCACCACACACGGCGCACCCAATTCTGGGAAGAAGAACTTCAGAACTGCACGGAATTTCAACGTATATTCCAAAGGCACTAAGAAACTGCAGTTATTCTCAGTGTGTGTTACTGGAAACGTTTCTTGTCTCTGAAGAGGATGGCGCTTTTTTTTTTTTTTTTTTTTTTTTTTTTTTTTTTTTTTGCCAGAGTTTCACTCTTGTTGCCCAGGCTGGAGTGCAATGGTGTGATCTCAGCTCACCACAACCTTCACCTCCCAGGTTCAAGCAATTCTCCTGCCTCAGCCTCCTGTGTAGCTGGGATTACAGGCATGCACCACTACACCTGGCTAGTTTTGTATTTATAGTAGAGACAGGGTTTCTCCATATTGGTCAGGCTGGTCTCAAACTCCCGACCTCAGGTAATTCGCCCACCTCAGCCTCGCAAAGTTCTGGGATTACAGGCGTGCCCGGCCCGGATGGGACTTCTTAAGTGATCCATTGCATATTTGGGGAAATTGAGAGGAGAGTTAAAAAAGAGAAGCTCTCATTTAAGATGTGATCTTTTGACTTTTTATTTTTGACCTGATGCTCGCCTGGTTGTATTTTCTCTATTGCAACTCATGATGCCCACTTCAGTTGACTTTAGAGGGACCGGGATCTTCACATAGATATACACGAAGCACATGTATCTCCACAAAACCATTGGGCTGGGCATTAGAAGGAAGGTGAAAACACATGGTACTCACATCCTAATGGAGGCACAGCAGAAAAATCCATAATGCTAAAGCAAAATCAATACTATATTATACTAAATGTTAAAAATATTTAATTGCCCAAATAATTTGAAAAATAGCACCATTAAAATACAAAAAATCATTTAAGGAAAGAAGATGTGTGGACCAAATGTCCAAAGCAATTTTTCTGTCTTTTCCCCTGGTTAATTCCCCACTTCCACTATCAAATACCCATGTCTGGCTTGCCGTCTCCATGGGATTGTTGTGCTTACCCACTTCAGGCTCACAAGTATTCATTTCAGTAGCAGATATTGGCCTACAGAAAGGGCCTGAGACAACATGTCAACTTGGCTGCCTCTTCTGCTCATTTTCTTGATATGTGTGATCATATTTTCCAAATCAAAAATCAGAACACATTACTTATAACTCAAGAGTGTAATTTCATTCTGTTCTGGTTTGGCGTATATGAAAAATAACCAAAAAGAGATGCTTCAACAGGCCTGAGAGACTCAGGGAAGGCTTTTTACTATATTAAGAGACAGCTTCAAGATCTCTTGATTAGAGCAATAAAGGTCCAAATGGGGAAGTTTAGAAAGTTAGCAGGTTGGGGAATAACTTATGAGTTCCTTTATATCTATGATAGGCTTGAGGTATCGACAAGACAACTAAGAAGAAATATAGGTACTCTGTAGTTAGCAGTCTAGAACTGCAGTGTTGGGGCTGGGCCCAGTGGTTTATGCCTGTAATCCCAGTGCTTTGGAAGACTAAGGCGAAAGGATCGCTTGAGGCCAAGAGTTTGAGATCAGTCTGGCCAACACAGCGAGACCCTGTCTCTACAACAAAGGTTAAAAATAAATTAGCCTGCATTGTGGCACATACTTGTAGTACTAGCTACTCAGGAGGCTGAGGTGGGAAGATCCCGTGAGTCTAAGAATTCAAGACTGCAGTGAACTATGATTGTTCCACTCCAGCCAGGGTGACAGAGTGGAGACCCTGTAGCTAAAAATAAAGTAAATTAAAAAAAAAAAAAGAACTACAGTGTCATGCAGGGCCAAAAATGTCTGAGATGGAAGTTAAAGCTGTGAGAGTAGTTGAGTTCATCATGCAGAAGAAGGCAGCAGCCACACCCACAGAAAGTTCCTGAACACACAGAACTTTCTCCTGATCTCCCCTCATCTGTACCAGACCTCTCTGGCTCCAACTTACCAGAAAAGTATTTGCATTAAATATAATAGTTAATGTTTCTAATATAAGTTTATTCAAATTTTTAAGAAAAACACCAAGATTCAAACTGATAAATAGGCAAAAGATAGAACTAAATTATTCACACTCAAAAATATGCAAACATTAAACATTACAGTTAGGAAAATGTTCACCCTCACAGTAATAAATGAAAATTGAAGTAATCTTGAGATACCATGTTGCCCCTTTAAAAATAACAAAAAAATGTTAGTGAGGGTTGAAATGAAATGGGTAGATTCTGCACATTGTTAATGTCATCATAAGTTGATTACAAGCCTTTTGGTGAGCATTATGGCAATATCTATCAAGATAAGCTTTATGCTTCACCCAATTGTCCAATTCTTGGATATTTCTCATTAGTAAGAGATTAAAGTGGAGGAGATGGTCACACCAACATATATTAGGTGCTACCTTTTTATGTAATAATAGTAATTATTGTAGTAATAGTAACAGCTAACATTTATTAGGCCCTTCAGACTAGGCACTGTACTAAACACATTATACAGAGTCAATTAATCCTTCCAATAACCTCCTTGGGTATATTCTCATCTCACAGAGAAGGAAACAATTTTAAAAAGTCAAGTGTCTTGTCCAAGGTAAGTGGCAGAGCCACAATTTAAAATCCAGGTCTATCTCAAAACTATTTTATTCATCAACGTTGAATAATCCTCACAACCATTTCTTGGGGTGAGTATTAATGGCTTTTTAGGGAAGTAAAACTGAAATTTAGCAATATTAAGGAACTTGCCTAAGGTCTCACAGCTCATAAATGTCAGAGAATTTGAACCTAAATCTATCTGGCATCAAAACCTATATTCTTTCCATATATATATATATATATATACACACATATATGTGTATATATATATACACATATGTATATATATACATATGTGTGTATATATGTATGTATATATGTTATACATGAATATACATGTATATATGTGTGTATAACATGTATACACACATATATACATGTATATTCGCGTGTAACATATATACATACATACATGTATATACATGTAATGTTTTTACATATATGTATATATTATATGTATGTTTGACATAGCATGTATGTGATATGTAAAAACATTACATACATGCTATGTTAAACATACATATAATCTGAAAAGCATCTAACTTTTTACAGGTCTTTGAAAACTGTAATTACATATCTCATCCCCACCTCCACCACTGGCTGTCCTGAATGGAAATCTGAAATAGAGAAGAACCGAAAGATTTATGTCTCCTTGTCAGCTTACAGAAGAAGTATCAGTAAATCCAAAATGTTTATTTTTCCAGTTGCAGAAAACTATAAATTGTGTGATGTTACAGTGCCTGGTGTAATCAAGTTTTTAAATGGCATGTCTAGATTTAGACTGTTTTTTGCTCCATGGCAAGATTGCAGCCCAGGAGAGTTTTCCAGAATTTAGTTGTTTCTGATTGATTTACACCAATATTCTTGAACCGTGGCACAGTTCTGAAGGGGACTATATATATCAAAGTCATGAAATGGTCTGCAGCTGGTGGTAGCTGCCACATCTGAAAGAGATTAAAAGCCAGATACACAAGCCTCCTGTCTCCACTAATCATCCTGCCCTCTCCTCTTCCAGCCTGTGAAATCTGCTTCTGGTTAAAGGGCAGAGTTTCTAGAGACACTGGATGTCTACTGATTGGGCTTTTACTGTGTGCCAGACACTGGGTTGGCCCTGAGAA